CACAAACATTCTCAGATTAATCCTCATTAATCACCTGCGCCAGACTCTTTTATACAAACAAAATAAATTATACCTTCAACCACGGGTATAAAACAGAGTACATTTCAAAAGTATATTTTTCATAACTGAACATGATGAATGATGAATTTCAATCAAGGGTAGGTAAGCGGTGTAGTTTTAAAATATTCGGACATATAAGACTTAAAAAACCTTTAACGACCCGTGAATTTTGCAATAGCTATCTAGCATTTTACATGCAATTTGAAATAAAGTATAAAGTTCATGTTGCAGTGACCTGACGTCATTTTTCCATTATGACGTCATATTTTGGTAGTTCAGAGATGTGAAGGCACAGAGTGCACTGTCATATTCTACGGGAAGCCTGCGTAATTGTCTATTGATCTAGTTTTCGCACGACTTAACAATTTTTCAAGATTTTAAATCGTAAAAAAATATGACAAAACGAACAGTGGAAATCTGCAGTAACTAATTCGAAATAACATGCTGGTTTTTTTTATAACAATTACCAAAAAACGTTTCTATATTTTCATTGTTAACAGAATCGATCTTTATTGCATGCAAGCTTGTATGTATTCTTTTTCCCTTTGTTTTGCCGATTACATATCACATATGTGACGGAATCAGCCTAGGTTTGCCGAATGATCTCGGCAGCAGAGTCGAAGTTTACGGAGACAGCCGAGCATCTGTTTTTCACTTGGTAGGGCTTATCTTTATGTCAGAAAAAAACTAATGAAGAAATACAAAGCCAAGAAATTTTCAAGAATTATACGGCTTGATAGGTTTTGGTCAGTTTACTGTTAAGGTTGTTGCTAAAGACGGTAAGCTTTTTAATAAAAGCTTTACTTGTAAATATAGGAAATCACTCCTGGTTTGATGGGTATGTCAGGCTATTAACGACAGATTGAAACGTGGAAAAATGTGTACATAATGGGCTTCGTAATTTATACTACGTTTGAAAGTAAACGGAGAAATAATGCACAATGATCAATCTCTAAAATCAAGTGAACAAGACAAATCAGGAAAAGGGTATAATCCAAAGGTATGAGAAGTAAGCATCCTCTGTGGACCGGTGTCACCCGGCAGATGAGTGATTATGTACATCAATTCATTGTAAAATCCACCTGTGACGTCACTCCTTTGTTTGAGCGCTCCAGTATTTTTCAGGAATGGAGGGTTGCAAATTACATTGAAAACGGAATTTGCTATGTTCTTTTTCTCCTTCCTGTGCCTCTTCCGAGGAAAGAACTTAGAAAATTTTATCAAGTTTATTTTCACATAAAGAAAATAAATGTACCACTGTCGAGAATCGAACCCGGTACCCCCACCTTCGTAGTCTGCTACCCATTTCACTGTGCTATCGGAGCAGTTGACCGACATTGGATTAGAATAACTTCAGTACACTTTTTTCGCCTTACTTTCCCTCTCTATATAAATTAAATACTACTAATAATGTATATTTACAGTGTATCATATAAATATTCTTTATATATATTAACAAAAATAAATACAAGCATTTTAGCTAGGTCGATTTTACGCGGGTTAATATACTCGTAGCGCTCCATTCCTTAAAAGCAGTGGGCCTCAGCCTCTTCGGGGCCTCTACTCCATTACATTTTTAAGAATGGAGCGCTACTCGTACATTAACCGCTACATAAAATTCAGATTGAAAGCAATATTCTTACAAATGTCAAGAAACATCTCACACAAAATACAAACCAAATCATCAACACGACTGTATTTTTTTTTAAAAATACTTCACATGAAGTTTTTAAAGCTTTGTAACATCGACTTATTTGACAGTAGCTTGCCGGTTATAAGTTTGATCAAACTCAAAGCATGTTTTTGCTAATCAAATCAGTCTGGAGACATAAACAGCATAAATTATGCGTGTGATGTTGGAAAATACAACTTAAATAAGGGAAGATGGAAAAGCTGCTCATTTCGTTCGTCGAGGCCTCTGCTGGTGGGTCTCTACAGCCCAGTAGCCTAGTACTTCGGTACTAGTTTAAAAATACGGATATAAATTCAATTGCTGTGTTAAAATTTAGAAATTTATTTCAAAATTAAGGATTATCTCCTTCATGCATAGCTCTGATCCTTCGACTATTTGGCTCCAGTTTTTGGCATTTTTTTCAGCTCTTCAAAGTCTTCTTTATTTAAATATTTTTGATTCCCAACCTTTAGGCAGGAGCATCACTGAAGAGACATAATTTGTCGAAATGCGCATCTGGTGCATCAAAATTGGTACCGTATGTGATTTACCTCATACAGTTTAGTTATTAGTTGGACATCATCGTCTATAATCATTAAAATCCAAATATGAAATTTAGATATCACAGACTCTGTTTTTTTCTTCCCGAATTTACTGGTGTGAATAGAGTCGATTTTTCAGTAAAAGTAACTGCTGTTAATTGATGAGACGTCGTTGTTACAATGTATATACAGAATGTTTAAAATAACTTTTGAATGAATGAATTACATAAAAAAGTCAGCTAATAAAAGGAAAGTGCAGTGAGTGCAAATCGGAATTCCGACAAATTTGTAGAAAGGCCTAGTCTCCAAAGACAACATAAATATTATCAATGAGGAATTCCAGTATCATATTCATATCAATTTGATAGTTCTTGTTTGTAGAATCGGTATCATTTTAACAAAGTAGTCTTGTTGATGACCAGTTACAAGATATAATTCCATTTTTGTTGAAGAAACAGTTTTATATATTGTATAAAAAACCCTCTTTTTTTTAGCGTGGGGGATGGCTGTATATAAAGTAGAAAGGTAATATGCTTTGAAGTTACTGTATACAGGGAAGTTTTTACCCCTTTCGCTCTACCCAACGTTGGACGAATTAAAAACGAGGCCAATTCAAAGAATACAGTATAATTTATTAAGCAGAGTCGTGACGGGCGAATTTTAAGCGAGGCAAAATTGTTCGCAAGTGTGAAAGGGCGAACAATACACGGGGCAAAGATAACCCTTTATACAGTATTAATTTTTGAAAAGTTTTGAGAATTTTTTGGAATATTTTAATGGAATTTTTACATTTGATTTACAGAACTTGTAGAATATGTTATATTTTAACTGTCGTTAATGACCTGATATACTTAACTAATTAGACAATGATTCCTTAAGTTCATTAGTGCAAAGTGTCTTTCTTTTTAAAAGGTAAATAGCATGTTAAAGGTTATAATTATTATCGGGACGATATTTTCATCAGTATATCAGAAATTTTATATAAAAAAATCCGTCATAATTAAATACATCACAAAGGAATGTAAAAAACACTTTTTGCTTCTTTTGTCGTGTCTTGATATTTAAACCAAAGAAGGAAAGTACTAGGTGATAAATACTATTTTGCGTGAAGAAAATTGAACATCGGGAGTAACATGACTTCTCTGATTAAAGATAGACCATTCTTTGTAAAAAAAAAAAAATCCCAGTTACAGTACATGTAATATATAGAAATCAAGTCTAGAGATTTTTTTTATATATATCTTTTTAACCTTTTCTTCTATAAAATACTATACAGTGTTACATAAATTTTATATGCAGGGCATCACATTAATTATTAAATTTCAGAAAAAAATCGTTCGATGCCTCAATGATTTTTGCACTGTGTCTTGAAATTCAATATACCCGTTCATTTTATATAACAGAGCGAATCTAGGTTAAAATGGGATCTATGAAGCGCTTGCCCAAATACATGTAACTCATACCTGCATTTCAAAGGATAATGTATAAAGAATGTGTATTAAATTTGTTTTAAAACGTTCTAAACAGGGGGATTTTGAAGGAAATACATAATTTTGTCTCCTTGAAATGTAAGTAAATTACAGACTATCAATCTTTTGTCAAAAAATTCTCTTTAGGACGAATTTTTAAATATGTAAAATCAGTCAAACTTCACCAACATGGCTTAACCCACACATCACCAAATGTTTGCAACATTGATCTTTTGAAAATATTTTACCTTTCTGGAGATGTTGTAAAAACTGGAACAAAAGCAAAATTACCCTTTTCCTGTATATTGCAAAAGCAACAATACTCGAAATTAACAAAAGCATTCCACTCTCATGTAATGAAAAGCTTTACTCAAGCATATTTCTAGGGCAGTATACAATTAAATCTTAAATTTCCCTAGAATAGGTATATAAAATGATTGCCAAACTGGAAAACATAATTTTATAGGCGACAAAAGTTTTGATAATTTTTCTTTACGGATATACATTACAAATGTTTTAGATGAACATTAATTTTGATTTATCATCTGTATAACCTTTACAAACCCATCAAGTGAATGGGGACATATTGCACAAAATTATCAATGGATAATGTATGCTCATGAAAGTTTTCTAATGTCTATTTTCATCAGGTATCTTTCTGATATATTATCATCATTACGGTCCCTTTGGTATCCAACTGCTTAGGGGCGTACACCCTTAAGTAAGGGAAGTAACAGAATTCTGGATCTTTGAGATCAGATAAAGAATATGAGGGAACACAGAATGTTGCTTACACATGTCATAATTTTATTTCAACCGTTTTATTATATTATTACAAAAGTCAATTTAAATGAGGCTCAAAGTATAAGGTGATCACTTCTTGAATTTTGACTGCAAGTGTTTCTAATTACCATCTGTTAGGTAAACTGACTTGCCGGGTTCTACTTAAGACATTTCAGCTCACTTCATCGCCGACTGACCGACTTTAATAATGTGTCTTAGACCATTTGTATAACATATACGTTTTGGGGGACAACAGTTGTTTCAAGCACATTTTGGAAAATATTTGAACACGTATTCATTAATATACCCGATAAAGGTGAAAATTATAAGTGGTATAACTTTATCAGAAGGCCAGCCAAAATATTAAACATATGTTTTGTGGTGTCATTTGATATGCTAGGAAATATATTAATATTAATATGTTTCAGCCTAAAGAAGTGTTTTTGTCTTTCTGTTGGATACCATGTGTGAACGAACTACTATTTTTACCTTCTTGGTACTCCTTAGCGTCATCTCAGGTAGGAGAATATTTTACTTAGTTATTTAGAAATCAGTTTCAATCTATGAAATTTTGGGATTAATACTGTTTAACTAAGACGACAATTGTAACATTCCTTAAATTGTGGTCGGAAGCTGTTTACATAGCAACATTAAAAGGTAAGAATCTTCATTTCAAATTATCTTCAGCAATCCAAATAGAGTTTGAGGATGGAAACCTGATTTTTGATTGGACACAAACATCAACTTCAAACCACACCTATGACGTCATTATTACCTGTGGCGGAGAAGCTAGCAAAAGAATTGTTAACAGTAAAATATTCGTCGTCCATGATTTACTTAATTTTTCTTCCGTTTCAATCAGCATTAGAGAAGACAATAACGGGGTATCGAAATTCTACAACAGAACCTTCAAAGGTATCATTTCTTTGTATATATAAATTAGAATAAAATGATTCCTTATTCTTATATGGTTTCTGGCTGCAATTTAAGCTATGCAAATGTTGGCCTAAGGTCTATTCGGAATTGGAGATATACATACATGTAGCATAATGGAATTTCACATTGTTAAAGTCAATTTCAAGTGAAACTAAATAAATATATAATACTGTCAGTTTTAGCTTATTAATTATATAAATTTACATAAAAATCCCCCGTCATCTTTTTATTCATTTTTTAAAGCAAAGTTATTATCAGTGAAATAAATATATTTTGTATAAGTGCCTGTTTATATGATTTTTCATACTAATCTAAATTAAGAATAATAACCGTCATTTTTTCAGTCTATTTATTCTCCACAACAACCAGTAAAGACAAATCTGTTTCCTGGGAGATGCCATACTTTCCAGCGAGTGAATATCTTCCCTTTTTTCATAAATATTTGAGCACCGAACTTATATTTCAGATCATTGACCCAAATGTTTTATATTACATGAATCAATATAAGTACAAATACTTGTCCAATCCAGTGAATTCTGTGTTTGTTAATTTTACAATTTTCAACACAACACTTTATGATGCTGGATTTTACTATGATCGTATAAGTCTTTGGGATTTTATAGATGCTGGAGCATTTTTACTGGTTTATGGTATGTACTTTTAGATATCTCTTCTTAAATTCTATTTTCCTGATTTATTTTTTAAATCTGCTAACATATTTCAATCCTTTATTTATAAAAGACAAAACATTCTTATAGTGAACCATTATAAAGATTTCTTGGTTAAAGGGACGTTAAATCTCATTAAAGTTCAATTATATTACATGTTTATTGGTTTTATGTGAATATGAAACAAATCAGATATCAGAAATTAAAGTATAAAGTCCCAAAACATCCTCAAAAGCATGTTTTATAGTTCAAGTAATGCACCACAGTCTCCGTTAAATGTTAATAATACTACAAGACTTAGTGTAAAAATTATATAATAGTGATATTGTTAAGAATAGCATAATTATACTAGATTACAATCGGCTGAATTGATTTTTGGAATTTATCGCAGGCAAGCCAACAAAACCTACCATTTTTGGCCAAAGAAAGGTGAAAATGGGAGTTTTCACAAACCTAACCTGTTCGAGTAAATCTACGTCAACACCATTTTATCACAAACAATTTCCACCACTGAGATACAGATGGTTCGTAAATAACACATAAATCAGTGTATTCATAGGAAATGTCTATACATTTAAAGTCACGAACATCCATCGGAATGTGCAATTTACCTGTCAGTCCGCAGAGATAGAATCTTCTGAAATAAGCGAGACATTTTCCGTTGAGGTAGTTGGTAAGATCATTGGCACCTTTCCTAAATGCTAACCAAAAAGGTTTAATGTTTGAAACACTTATTTTCTCAGATCAAAAAAAAAAAAAAAAAAAAAAAAAAAAAAAAAAAAAAATTCTGATCTTATTTAAAGGAAATGAAAAAGTTCAAATGGTGACGGAACCTAGAACTGCAATATTGACAACAAAAACGTTTTTGGTAAGGCGACATTGGTTGGATTATTTAATACTACATTCATGTACTAACATATTTTTTGAACTTATTTTAAGGAAATGAAAAACTTCCGAAGACGACAGAATCTACAACTGCAACATTGACAACAGAGACATTTTTAGGTAAGGCGATAGTCGATTATTTATTTCATAATGCTTCCATACAGTAACATTTTTTTTAACTTATTTTAAGGAAATGAAAAACTTCCAAAGACGACAGGATCAGCAACTGCAATATTGACGACAAAAAATTTTTCTGGTAAGGCAATAGTCCATGGATTATTGTATAGAAATATGGAGATAACGAATATTCAAGCTCAAAGTCCATTTAAACAATACAAATCGGTAGCAGAGCAAACACGGACCCCCAAAACATCAGAGGTGGGATCAGGTGCCATGGAGGAGTGAGCATCCCCTGCCGACCAGTCACACATGTCCTGTGCTCCTTGTCTTGATCGGGAAAACGGAAACATCGGTAGACAATTCAGTGCATAAATAATGGCCTTACAATTAGTATGAAAAAGGTCGGTCAGCATTTGAGTTAATGATGGGTTGTATTTTCTGACAAGGTCATTGTATCGACCATCAGCATTGCTAAATGATGGCTCCAAATGAGACTGTTGATATCCTTGCTTCATCAACATGTTTGTCAATAGCTTACATCGGTTAAGAAATTGTTTAAACGTAGAGCACAAAAAAGTTAGGGATCGTAGTTTTACTTCAGCATTTTTTTCAACTGGTATATGTTACGACAAAGCTACAGTAGCTAAATACATGTGCCATTCACCTAGATTTAGTCTCGATTACCACATGCTCGTGTAGTCTTGCGTTGGGTTGCTTTCAAAAAGAATAGTGTTAGCAAATTGACTGGTACTAGAGAGGGCGAGATTTCCCAATTCTGTTGCCTGTAGTGACATAAATAATTTCCTTTTGGGGGAATAGGATTCATGCTGAAACAAAATGAGGCAGCATATGAACTGGAATGAAATCTCAGGGTATTAAAGATGATGGAAGCTGATAAAACACAAAATTACGTTGCAGAGAGACTCCATGATTCACAGAGCATCATCAGTCTCTATGGAAGCGGATATTTGCTAATCACCGTAAAATTTGCTTCAAATTATTTTTAAGTCTTTGAATAAAATACTTAATACTTAACAAGAATGTAAATAACAAATACATTTTCTATGTTCCCTAACGTTTTTGGTCCAATATAAATTCATACGGTAATTTATACTTTCTGAACTTATTTCAAGGAAAGGAAAATCTTCCAAAGACGACGGAACCAACAACTGTAGTATTGACAACAACAGAAACGTTTTCTGGTAAGAATTAGTCGGTGGATTATATAATACATTCATACGGAAATAACAGTTTCTGCAGAGGAGCATTAGAAATTAAACAAGCAGAGCACATTGAAATAAAAATAATTGATTTGTTAATTTTTTCATCTGTTCTGTAATATTTTTTGTTAAAGATTTAGAATACCTTAATTCAAAATTTCGAAATTAAATAATCTTTACAAAATTCCACTTGTAATGCTTCATTTCTCTGTACTTTAGATGAAAAACACCTCTGTTTTGATTCCCGTGAAAAAATATACACCGAGATGATGATAGCGTTACCATATCATTATCATTATCATCATCATTATCATACTGATATTGTGGATTGTCGTCCCCAAGTTGAATGGAAGTAAGTTTTACGTGATTGCTTAGTGAAACATGTCTCATCTTTCTTGTTGTCAATAGCTTTTTTTAAAGTTTGATGATTTAACGCCTATAGTACCTTTTGATCACTACAGATTTATACTTTGTGATGAAGTAGCTCGGATCGCACGTTAAAATTATGATTGTTGTCAATTTAATGTTTTGAAACGTTCAGATACATGTCCTTACAGTGTTTCATACTTTTGTAATCTGATTAATATATTAATTGGAAGTCTGACTCTTCTCTCCATTTCTGATTCACTTAAATTCTACTGATGTGCTATTTTTTGAAAACATTAAGATGCATGATCATACATATGTTTTCTACTTTTCGAGATAAAAAAGACAAGAATTTGGAAAGGGAGACACTTAAAAAACGTGTATATATCTGTATAAGACTTAACTTTAAAAACATCAACAACGATGTGTTTGCGGCCATAACTTTGTCATTACAATTCCTTTTGGATTGATTTTCATATTTAAAGTTATATCTAAAACAGTATATTATACATAAGTAGTTGGTTGAGCTATTTATGGATGACCATATAAATTAACTTTTTTCAGTTTCTTAAGATACATATAGGGCAATCACTTTATAAAAACTGATCTGTAATACATGACTGGAAATCTTCGATGAACACTTACATAGAAACTCTAGTGTATAAATATATTGTATTTTTCAGGTAAAATTTGTAAGAAGAGCTTTCATGGCCAATCATTGGGGTCCCAGTATCTCACACCAATAGTAGACTATGACACCTTGCCAGTTATATATAACAAAAATAGAGCGGATCAATACCACGAGATAAATGATGTTACCGTTTTAAATAACACCGACGAATATGGTTACATAGAATTTTAGGACAAGCAATTTATTGATGCATTCACCGGTGTTAAAAAATTCTATTTGCAATGTTGAGCAGCATGCTTCAAGAAACATTATTCACCAACATTGATCTTCCTGGATATAGAGTGACTGCGATTGAACACTTTCATCAGTGTAGCTGAAAGAGAATATAATTTGTATAAGTTAAGGAGCAATTTTTTTTTTTTTAGATTTCAATATTTGTTTTCGTTCATGACGTTTTTTTGTTACATATAAATAGGTGAATTGTAAAAGCATGTTACATAAAACTTCTTTTTATGAAGAAAATCAAGCACACAAGTATAACACAATATCGAATGCATAAATATTGTACAAGGTTAATAATGAAGAATGATCAGTCTTATAAAGCCAACAGAGAACACGAACTGTTAAAAGGGGGGACTCTGAAAACACCAGAGTTGGGATCATTTAGGAGGAGTAAGCATGGAATGAATGGAGTAATCCGTAATCATAATTAGTATAAAACAATGACCTAACAATTGGTATAGAACACGCCAATCAGAATACTATTCCACGATAGTTTGTACATTAATTAGCTAACAAGGTCAAAATATCGACCATATAAATACTGGAGTTTAAAAATTGATTGTATATGCATATCATATCAGTTAAGAGGCATAAACGCAAGTATTATTGATATATTACTACATGAATAAGGACATTGACGAAAGAAAAGCTGAAGTCATCTCGTTTGCCATACAATTTATTTGTTAGATGGCCATTGATATCTATAATTCGTAAAACATCCAAATGTGAAACATATGTAGCTCATAGTGTAGTGTTTTTTAAATCGAGTTTACCGCGATATATCGATTCAACTATGAGTAAAATTACCATTGTTACATGTAATTAATAGAACGATTTCAATATATCTAAATATGGAATTAAAGGCAACGGAAATAGTCTCATTTAGAATTTCTTGTATGAACTCTGCCTTATAAGAATCTAAAAACAAGCTATCAAAGGAGCACAGTTAGTGCAAAACGAATTCCAACGGAAGACTACAAAAATATTAATAAAGAACTACAGCATCTTTTTAACATTAACTTCAGAGTACTCGTGTGTAGAATCAGAAGGATTTTTACACAGTTATTTTGTAAATGAAGAGGTGAAAATTCGTTTGTTTTGAAAATGTAGATGTTAAAATATTTTTTTTTAATTTTAAATTTTCTAAAAGTTCCTGGGGGTTTTAAGAATCCACATTTCATTTACACCACTTTGAATAAGTTGTATAATAGTTCGTAT